TGGGGATGGGACACAGCTGGGAGTGGATGGGCTGGGAGGGGTTTTCCAGCTCCAGTGATGCTGGGATTTCCCCCAGGGACAGCTGGAGGTGGGAAGTGGCCAGGTGCAGTTACCTGGATGAGGTTTTATGGAAGGATGTTCCAGGGGCTGGACCCCTGCCTGGGGATGTGGCTTTGGGCCACCCTGACTGGTGAAGCAGTTAAAGACCTCCTCAGTTTGAGCCACTTTGAAATGCTTGTCTTGGAATAGTTCTAAACTATTTTCCTTTGGTCCTTTATTTTGGTCTATTCCTTGTTTCTTGTCCTGTTCCAGGCTGGGCTGGGGCCCCTGGCTCAATCTGGAGAGGAGCAGAATAACAAAAGAGGAATTAGGGCTTGGAATTAACCTGTCCTGTGAGGAGAGACTGGGACAGCTGGTGGGGGGCTCACCTGGAGAGGAGAAGGCTCCAGGGAGAGCTCAGAGCCCTTTGCAGGGCCTGAAGGGGCTCCAGGAGAGCTGGAGAGGGACTGGGGACAACGCATGGAGGGACAGGACACAGGGAATGGCTCCCAGTGCCAGAGGGCAGGGCTGGATGGGATATTGGGAATGAGGAATTGTTCCCTGTGAGGGTGGGCAGGCCCTGGCACAGGGTGCCCAGAGCAGCTGGGGCTGTCCCTGGATCCCTGGCAGTGCCCAAGGCCAGGCTGGACAGGGCTGGGAGCAGCCTGGGACAGTGGGAGGTGTCCCTGCCAGGGCAGGGGTGGCACTGGGTGGGATTTGAGGTCCCTTCCCACCCAAACCATTCTGGGGCTCTGTGATCAGGGTTTGGGCTGCCCCTGACCCCTCCTGTGGGGAGCACCTGGTGAATGAGCTTCAGGGAGATGTGAGGAGCTCACGGCCTGCTCTGACACACAACATTTTCACTCTGGTGTGACTCCAGCAGCCCCTGGGAGCAGAGCCAGGCCCAGCCCAAGGGATCTGGGCACTCTGACTGCATCTGGGCTCATGAGCTGCAGCCTGACCCTGTTACATTGTTTTAACTTGATTTCAGTGTTTAATTATTACAGCCCAGATAACCCAAACTCCCAGTGGGATTTACTGCCTCTTCCCTGGCATCTGGGTCACAGATATGCTCAGTTAATTAACGTGCTGAATCCTCCTTATTTGTCTGCTGGATAATGGCCTGATTCATAATTTAAATACGCAGCTGTGGAGATCTTTCCCTTGAACTATAAAAGGCAGGACACTGGCGTTCCTTTCTCCTCACTCCAGAATTTAAATGTGTTTAGGGAAATATT